CTGGTCATTACAATCAGGAAGCAAAATATCCCTTGACTTATATGATATACGGCTTACCCAATTCCTTGGCAGAGAATAGGTTAGACCCTTGGGAGAGGAACTGCTCACTGGCACGACGAAGTCAGCGATATGATATGAGGACCCAAGTCCTAAGGGGAGCTAAGCCCTAGATCTGTTATATGGCTCATGGGAGTGAAACATACCTAGCTTGTGGGAGTGAAGGGAGGCCTAGATCTGCTCAGATTTGGACTCAGGGAGGTAAGCCGAACTCTTCTCCTTCAGTATGAGTGACCGTGTCTGTGTCTTTCTCTCTCTCTCTCGGATTTCTTCTGGGTAAGCCGTAAGATTGCACCTCTCTCTCTCTCTCTCTCTCTCTCTCTTTATCTTTTTTTTTTTTTTTTTTTTTTTTTTGGCTTGGAGGACCTGTGGACTGTGGCTGTGGACCTGCGATTTCTGAGATATTTTGAGTCTTCTCCCTGGTTCATTATTCATTACAAAAGCTTGGATCTTTGTTTAAGAATAAAAACTATTTCTGAATTTCATTATTTTGGGATCTTTGTTAATGATTATTCTCGTATGATTGAATTGTTTTTTATGAAGGACAGTTCTAAATTGACTAAAATTTTTCTTACGTTCTATGATGAACTAATAAGCGTATTAAGATATTTCATTCTAATAATACTCTTGAGTATGTACAATCTTTTATGCATACATTTTTGTATTGATCAATTTATCATTCATCAAACTAAATGTCCACATACATCCCAGCAAATGGTGTGGTTTAACACAAACATCGTTATTTATTAGTGTTGTTCCTACCCCCATGTTTAAAATACATGTACACAAGCCTTATTAGGCTGTGCTCTCTCACCGCAGTCTATCTTATTAATCAGATGTTTTTCGGCATCTTAAGTAACAAATCTCCATTTTCCTTGGCCTATCCTGATATATCATCCTTTGGCCTGACTTCTTATGTCTTTAGTTGTGCTGCATTTCTTTACCATGTTGGTTCGAGTTTAAATAAACTTTCACCTCGCGCAGTTAAATGTGCCTTTTGTGATACTCTCGTACTCCAAAAGGTTGTCGTTGTTATGACCCTTCCTCTCGCTGTTATTATGTCGGTGCTGATGTCACTTAAAAGTCATCTATTTTCTACTTCAGGAACTATCCTTTTCCCCATATTTAACCTCTACTAATCAAGAGGAGCTCATGTTGTCACTTGTACCAGATTATGAGAGCAACTTGTCACACCCCAGTCCTCCCAGGCATGTAACTTATTACTCCCCGTATCACACAAGCACGTTATGTGATAAAAATAATACGTCGTGTTACAACTCTACCCATTCCCCACACCAAACACAAGTGTTACTGGTAAATAACTTGGAAACATAATGATGATCTAACAATCCTTACACATTTATACAAAACAGTTATCGAACCCTCTACTTATTACGATACAAAAGTTCAGGCTATTGATCCCAAGTCAATATAAACCAAAACATGCAGGTCAGACTTATACTTTATTCCCCGTTACCTGTACCTGTCTGAAAAAGAAATAAGTAGCATAGGATGATCGACAATTCCAAAAACACAAGTTTGAAAAGAAGTTACTTTGTTGTACTCTAATTCAAATTTTAGCCCATTCATCATAAAATCAAAGTTGAAGTGCATTACTATAAGTCATATTAAGGGATTGAGAACTTAGTAGTTATAAGTCTTAGAGCATAATCTTGAAACTAATTCTATTTATCCCTTGTGTGCTTCAATAGTGTTAATATTTGGAAAATTCATAAAACTAAGTACACGCTTAACCAATCACCTTTATTGATTAAAATTCGTGCTTGCTTGAGTTATTAATGACCTTACATAACTTTAACTGTTGGTGATAACTGAACACATAACTTACGATTAATAAAGCCCCAAATCCCGTATAAAGATGTCAAATAATTGAATGTGAGAAAAGAGTCAAATGTGACCAAAATTAAAAAGTAAAGACCAAAAATAAAAAGTAAAGGCATATATAGAATGGTTAGTATCAAGAACACTTGAATTGTTGAAAGTACTATATGCTTATTGTAAATGTTTACCAATAAAGCTAAAAAATCTATGGTAGACACATCATAGAAGCATAACTTGTAAAGTACGGAGTGTCCCAAAAAACAAAGATGAAAAGTATGAATGTCATAATGAGTATAAGGGATGTAAAAAGAGGGGGAGTGTCGAAAAAGAGGATAAAAATAACTCCTAATTCCTAAGTCTCCACCTCCCAAAGTCTACTCCTCACCCTTGGTCAGTTCAGTCCATACACCCCGATTAACCACCATTCTATTCCATCATTAGACTTAATTCTAACCGAAATTGAGAACTCACCCTCTATTAACTCCTCTACTTTGACAGTCCTTTCATCCCATGTAATCGCAATACCACCAGACCTACCAACAAACGGCAACCAAATTCAATTCCTATATCTAGAACCCCATGCACTCTTAATCAAATTTCACGTAATCGCAATACCACCAGACCTACCAACAAATGGCAACCAAACCCAATTCCTATATCTAGAACCCCACGCACTCTTAATCAAATTTCTATCAACCTTTTACCTCATGGACTTTTGCAAAATAACCACATCTAACCCTATGTGCATCAACCCATAATTTAACTCCTTTTACTATGTTATTCAAGGCCCCTCCCATTCCAACTAACTAGTTTCATATTGTTAGAATGTATGAGTCGCATCCATGTAATAACTATATCCCAAGAAGGGTATGTTATTCTTCTAGTTAAATATATATATGAGTCCATTCAGCAGAGCCCCGTTCTTTGGTCAGGGCGGTTCAGCAAGTATTCCAGCCGGTTCAGCATCTATTATGGTTGGTTCTGCAGCTTTGAGGCCAATTCAACAAGTTTTCAGTTACTCCAGCCAGTTCAGTGGCTTTTCCAGCCGGATCAGCAGCTTTCCCAGCCGGTTCATCAACTTTGAGGCTGGTTCACTGCTTTTCCAGTTTCACCAGCCTGGTCAGCACCTCCTGCGGGATTTTCAGCCATCCTTTTTGTTGATTCTGCCCCAGTTCAACACCCGTTTCATTGCTTTCGCCCTTGTGCAGTGAGTTTCTGCACATCTATTTTTTGATTCTGTATTCTTTGCTTAGTTTTTTATTGAGAGCATGGATCCTAAGGTAGATACTGCTCCCTTAACCACTAGTAATGTTCCCATTACCTCAGTTCCTCCACCAAATTTTTCTCATGCTTTCTTCTTTAATGCTCCAATGACCTCTGTTAAATTGAATGAAAGTAACTATGTATTGTGGGCTCACTCTGTCGATGTTTTTCTTAAGGGAAAAGGTCTTCATAAGCACTTAGTGGAGCCTAAATCAAATGAGTGATCCTGGCTTTGCTCAGTGGGAACACGAAGATGCACATATTATTTCTCTCCTCTTGACTAACATTGAGCCTCACATCAATTCTACTTTACTTTATCTAGACACTAACAAGGAAATTTGGGACCGACTGACTCACATGTACTCTGCCACTAGTTATATCACTTATGAGATATGCAGATAATACTTTAGACTTGAACAGGGCACCTTGACTCTTGAGGAATACTTTTCTAAGGTTATGGAAATTAGTGAGGAGCGTAAGTTGTATCAGTCTATATCTTCTGATGTTTTAAAGATGGAACAACAACGGGATGATGTTGATGTTGTCCATTTCTTAACTGGGTTGCGGTCAAACCGTCAAAGTATGAGCCTATCTGTGCACAGATTTTGGGTAGTCCCAAACTTCCATCTCTACCTGATGTGCTTTCTCTCGCCTTCAGCGTGCTACTTTATCTGATAATCATTCTCCGGCGAGTCCTGATCCTATTAGTGATCGGTCCGCTTTAGTTGTTTCTAGGATGGGTATAGTGGTTCTTGTGGATTGCTCGTTGTTTGATGATTGTTAATGCACTCACTTTACCCCCATCAACGACCACATGGAAGGCTAAAATACCCTTCAAGGTGCAAATTTTCCATGGACTATTACTCAGGGTAAGAAGTACTAAATATGTGCTCCAAAGGGGAAGACCACTGTTGTGTCTTTAATTGGTGTGTGATGTGCAGGTGTGATAGTGTAAAGTGTGAATCATTTATTTTTGTGTTATCCCGTTGCTTCATCTTTGTGGACCAGATTATTTAAATTGACAAGTGTGAGTTGGGTGGTTCGAAGGACTTTTTACTCCGTGATTGTAGAGTATGTCAGAGACTTAGGGTGGCAAATTAAAGGGCAACTCTTTGGAATTGTGAAATTTTTGTTACAATTTGGATAAATATGGAAGAAGAGGAATGCTCATATATTTGGAATATATGAGTGGGTGGAATGCTTATGGGATAGGATCTACTTTTTGTCATCTTTTTGGGAGTCAGTTATAAAGGAGTTGGAAGGAATTCCGTTTTTTGCATATTGGAGGGATGGAAATCTTCATTTGATTCATAGCTTTCACACATTGTATAATGATGTTTTGTTTTGCTTTGCTTTGCTTTTTTTGGTTAAACTTTTGGCCACCATTTGTCAAATTTTGATGTAATCTTTTTGAATCAATAAAATTGTTTTGATTCCAATTTAAAAAAAAAAAGAAAAAGAAAAATTTCTTGTGGGAGTTGATTTGGTGTAGGATACGATTTGTGATTTATTTGAAATAATCATTCAAAAAGTTAGGTAGAGACCTCGATTGTGGATTATTTTATACCTTGATTATACCATATGATGATATCAGCCGCGTGGTTTTATAATATGGTGATTATGATGATGGTAATCTATTCAGTAGTGTCTCATTCCTTGTGCATTTGTTTGTGTTTTTATCTAATTTCACCAGTGAGTTCAAAGTAAACTGATGTATTTCGAAAATACTTTTTCATAGCACTTAATTGATTGAAGTTATTTATGTCAATATAGCAAAAGATGGATATTCCAATATCCTTACATATTATCAAGCCCTCACAAGCTTTTTATTTCGTGGCAGAATTAAGCAAGATGCCTTCAAGAACTGCCCAGATTCGCTTTGTAAGTTCACATCCTGAAGTTTATGAACCATGTGATGATTCATTTGCCTTGGTTGATGCACTGCTAGCTGATCGAACCAACTTGTTAGAACACCGTCCTACACTATGCATGGAAATTGGTTGTGGTAGTGGGTACATTATCACTTCCCTAGCTCTTATACTTGGACAGGAGGCTAATGGGGCCTACTATATGGCCACAGACATCAACCCTCATGCAGTGAAAGTGACTCGTGAGACTCTGGACGCGCATGGGGTTGATGCAGAGTTGATAACTACTGACATTGCCTCTGGACTAGCGAGGCGATTGGCAGGATTGGTGGATGTGATCGTCGTGAACCCACCTTATGTGCCAACACCTGAAGAGGAAGTGGGTCGTGGTGGGATTGCCTCTGCTTGGGCTGGAGGGGAGAATGGCCGGAGTGTTATTGATAAGATATTGCCTATTGCTGACATTCTTTTGTCAGACAAGGGATGGTTGTATATGGTTACGCTTACAGCAAATAGTCCCTCAGACATTTGCCGTCAAATGAGACAGAAGGGTTATGCTTCTCGAATTGTTTTGCAGAGATCAACAGAAGAAGAGAGTCTCCACATTGTTAAATTTTGGCGCGATTTTGATACTCAGGGGGCAGCAAGTGACATTTATAGTGTTAAGAAAACAGGTCATGCTAATCTCGTGGAATCTCTGCTTTCACAGTGTTCTCAGTTATCGTTCTGGAGACATAATAATGGCAATAGTAGCTGACGTATTAAAAGGTAAGAGAAAAATCTATTCACCCAGATATTATTGTGTTCTGTTTTAATTTGATTTCTATATTGCCTTTCCTTGGTTGGTTGGTTGTTTTCCACCAAATAGTGGAAACCTCAAATAGGAATTTTCAGGGAGTTCGTAAATTCCCTAGGTATTCAATTCAATCCTTTTCCCTCACGCCAGCTTGCTCTCTTCCATTGCTGAAAAAAATCTTTCAATCTTTCTACTTTTCTTGGATACTTGTGTTTAGTTATGGGACGGGAAGCCTCTCGTGGAGAAGTGGCAGAAAGACCGAAGCCCAATCGAAGGCTGATCGATTGATGTCGCGCTGATCTGCAAATTTGGAGGGCTTTCTCTAGGGTTTCATGCCCACTCTATAAATCCAACGAACGCCGGGTCCATGTCTCTACCGTAGTCAAGTCTGTAATGCTGAGGTGCTTTGGACATTAGGACCTAAAATTTCAGTGAAAAGTGATGATGCACGTAGTCATGACCAGCTTCATTGAAAACGATTACCACGACAGAAATGGGGCATCAATATTTTGCAATTAACACAGGATAATGGTATAATACCAAAGCGTTGACTTCTTTTTGGGTTCCCCCGAGACTTCAACCAACCAGGCCATGCATTCATTTTTTTTTTTAAATTATACAATAGTCAATTATATAAAGACTACTTTCAGGGACCTAAAACAAGTAATACAAAATTATGCTGCAGCCAATAGCTCCCTAAATGATTGATTTTACTAGCAAGTTTTCCTTTCACTATGATGATGATGAGTTATTCATTTCAATTCATTTCCTTCCTGGTGCAATTTTCCTTTTTAGTTTATTAATTTTCTGCTTGCAATATGAAGTTTTTGCTTTGTACCCAAGGATCAAAATTTAATTTTGGCGCATTGTTTCGGTCACTTGGGAAATGGAAATATGCTGACGTGTTTCAGAAACAGAATGAAAAAAATTAAAAAAATTAAGTATAATTTTTTTTTGAAATCATCCACAGAAATATATTAAAATATTATGAAATTATTGTACAAATGCATTGCAATATAACAAAACATTTTGAAATATTATGGAACATTTTGAAGAATTAAAATTTTGATTTTATCATTGAATCGTTGCTGTCTCTTTTAAAACGAAAACGTTTTAGATGTTTTGACTATTTTGAAACCATATTTTGATTTTTTTTTGTACCATTTACTATCTTGTCAGGACTTATGATCTGTAAAGATGACATAATGCCTCTTCATCTTTTTCCTCCTAACTTTCTGAACCTCTACTTCATATTCTTTCTCCTAAATTCCGATTCTTTTCCTTCTTTTGTCATCTCGTCATTTCTTTACTCTCTTCTTCTTGATCTTTTACTTTGTTTGCTGTTGCTTTGAGTGCTTCTTTGTCTTGCTAGGAATGAAGAGATACAGTGCGTGTGAGATTAAGATTGACCAGAAATTCTTTGCGTTAGTGGTGGATGAATGATCAAGGGGAGACATGGTAACTTAAGGCAGCAAACATTTCATTACCTCTGGGACTAGGTGGTCTGGTTGCAAGTGGAACTCCGGATGAATGATCAAGGGGAGACATAGTTGTTTGTAGAAAGAACTTAAGGCAGCAAGCATTTCATTACCTCTGGGACTAAGTGGTCTGTTTGCAAGTGGAACTCCAAAGAGACGTTCTTTAGAAAATGAGCTGTTTACTCCTCGTGGGTGGAAGTGAATTGGAGTGCAAAAGGAATTTTTCTGTTTCCAAAGTGCATAATTCTGGACAACGAAGATTCCTTATTATCCCACAAGGAATTGACAAGAATGGTTGGGAGAATATATCGGATTTGTTCACAAGTATGTTGAAAAGGGCACTCCGGGGGGGTGGGGGTGGGGGACAACAGGTAGAGCTGTCAATGGACCGGATCTTAGTTGATCCTAGTCCAATTAAAAATCACTGATCTGTATATTTGATGGATATCAAAATTTTAATTCATATCATGATATATTAATAATTGGACATTCGCCTCAATAATCCGGTCCAAACCAAATACGTTTGAACTCCAATAAAATGTTATTAAGTAAACAACTAATTCATATAATCTAATTGCAAGTACCCACCAATTAAACACTCGATTCAAACAATTTTTGTTCAATTTCACTTCTATTTTAACATAAAAAACTAGTTCAAAAATTATAAAAAAAAAAAAAAAAAAAAAAAAAAACCTAGATAGAACCAAGTTCTCCAAGCCAACTAAAAACTAGGAAGTACTGATACTTCTATAGGAGTTTCGTGGCAGTATTGGACATGTGTCCGACACGGTTAGAAGTATTATGAATAGTGAACTTAGTCAAACATAGCCACGCCATGTCTATGACACAGTCAGGGTACGTCTAGGACACGGCCAAAAAATTTTTTATTAAAAAAATAATTTTTAACTATTAAAAAGAGTGATTTTTATTTTTTTAATATATTTTTTGTTATGTAACTTATATATTATGAATGTCAATAGATGACATGATGTTTGATGAAGATGATGGATATTTAATTTGATCTATTTCAATTTTAATCAAAAAATTAATATTTGTTAGATCTTATTATTAATATTATTATAATATATGCTTTATTTTTAATATATTACAACTTTATTATTATTTAAAAATATATTATATTATTGTAATAGCTGCATCTTTGTCATACTCGTATCATATATTTTTGAACTTTGTTGTAATCCCGTGTTCGTATCGTATCGGATACGTTTTTGTGTCCGTATTCGTGCTTCATAGACAAAAACCTAGTTTGCTATCTTCAAATTCAAAGCAGGATGTAGGTTGAACTAAAACCCAAATGTTGAGGGGATCCTATTATCCAAGAATTTCTGCAAACTTGGGGGCTGATTCATCAGGAAGATAAAGGTATCTGTTAAATCCTTTATGAAACCCATACTCGTTATTTGTAAAGATGAAGAGAGGAAGATGAGACTGCATAAGCGAGAGAGAAAGATGAGATATCAGAATAGAAAAGAAGAGAGTGAGAAGAGAAGCAATAGACATGTAGGGATAAGGCAGAAGAGAGAGGAAGAGGTAAGGTGTAGATGTGTGTCACAGAAAGAGAGAGGAACCAGTAGAGAGAGAAAGAAAGAAGGATGAGGTATAAATGTGAAATGGGTGGCCCAGTGTGGGGCTGGTGAAAGTGGATAAAATATTTCATATTTTTGGCTTGGTTATTATATAGGGTTTGAGAATTGAAAATTTTCAACATAGGTTCAATCACAGCTTTTAGGGATGCCAATAATAAGAAAAGAACAAGGTTAAGGCCGAAGTTAAACCAATAATATTTTAAAATCATGTCTCAAGAGTTATTGACAAATATACTCTAAATATAAATAATTTAAAAATATAAGTAATTATTCACAACAGAAGTATTGACCAAAATAAAAATAATGAGATTATTAATTGAAATTAGGAATGAAACTATTCTTATTGAATAAATGTATATTTCCTTCCAAGAAAGATTAACTCAAAAACTCACAAGAGATATAAATTATTTTCATTATGTGTATCAAATCTCAAAGTAACATTTTCCAAACTCTAATACTAGCATAGTTAAACGTGCACTCAATTTGAGTTTCAAATGGAAACACAACTAATGCCAAAACACAACACAAAGTTCTATCATTGGATTAAAACAAAAACAAATTCAAGATCCAATTAAACATTTCCTAACTCAATGCCAGTCAAATCATAAGAACATGAACATTGCCTGAGATATTTCCTGCAATAGTTTGAGATAGCGATCTTCAACTTAGTGGATCTGCAATAGCCACAGGGTCAGAAAAAAGTGGGCCAGGTGAACACCCGGCTTATTCCCTTCAAAGCTTAAGTCAATATTAGATTAGAAGCTCAAGCTCAAAAAAGTGTCAGAAAAAAGTGGGCCAGGTGAACACCCGGCTTGTTCCCTCCGAAACTTAAGTCAATATTAGATTAGAAGCTCAAGCTCAATGCATATGATATTTTGGTTCAATGTTATGTACCTTTGTTCATTTTTTTGAAAAGTATTTATACTTGAATTAGCAATGAGTGCAAAGACTTAAAGTCCCATCTGAATATTCAATGTCTGGCACCTTTACCCAAGAAGATCTGAATGTTCTCCCCCAAGATCTTCACTCCTTTAATGTCAGGATGATAGGACAAGTGCTTGGGGACAAGTCGAGCACTTATGTCTATTCCTGAGCACTCAAATGTTTATGATCGGCACCTGACACCTACTTCTGGGATTTAATGCTTGGGGGGAACCGTACCTCTGGGCGTACCGAGGAGATACACTCGGCGTATAAATCATTAATGTCTAGCCATCATGACCACAAACCTAGAGTCTGAGACTGCAGGGCCTCATTAATGGTGTTGTCTCCATCACTCGCTTTGCCATAAATGAATGGTCAAGTCGCATTTAATACGGGTGTCAGCTCGAGCACTCAGCTCCTTTGAGTCGTCCCCTCTCGGCTTGGCTCCTCGGCGCCCTTTGAGCTCCACAACGACTACAACTTTAAACGTGTCGATTCGGGGGCTGCTGAGCCGCCTTAGGTCCTGTCAACTGCCCCCAGCCTCTATTTTTTTTTGCGGCATAAGACAGGTGGTGCAAGGAGACTGGAGGCTTATTGAATACGCCTTATCAATAACGGCGGTTTCTTGCACGTTTGACGCTGCCCTTTTTAAATCTCCTAATGATGACTCGCCTTTTTGATTCCCGCCCTTCCAGTAGGGTATAAATAGGAGATGCTTGAGCCTTTTCAGAATTTTTGCATTCTCAGCTTCTTTTCAGCAATCAGCCCCTAAGCGTTCCTCTTCCACCTTTCGAGCACTCATCTGTTCTCTTCCGAGTTCCCTTCCTGAAGACCCTTTTCCTGTAAGTGCTTCCTTTCGAGTTTCTTTCTCACTTCTTCTACATTTCTTCTATTTATAACCCACCAATGACTAGAATCTGTAGAACCAGGGGGAGGTACTTGTTAGGGCCAGGGCCAAACTGAGGAGAATCAAAGTGACTGATGAAAATATTCACACTTTAGGGTTAGATATAACATCCCTGAGTCTATATTCACCTTCCCCTTCAACCCTACCCATCATAGAAAGGATATGTGAAGTGTAGACATAATGCCCTTTTGGACCAAAGCCATCATAGAAAGGGGGTTAACCTTTCCCCTTCACCCTTTGTTGTTGAAGATGCTGATGCAACTGAAGCTTTTTTCCCTTCAATGCGGGG